ATGTCACTGATAACATTGTTAAACACGGTGTTAGGAAGCAGAATTAATAAATAACAGACTGGACTTACTGGAAGTCAGATAGGCATGTGAATAATAATGAAACCATAACACAAAGAGCAGTGCTTGGATAGAGGGGGGGGGCACTGCAGGGGCAATGTTTTGTAAGGGGAGGGTAAAGGGACTAAAAGAATTGAATCACACATAATGAAAGAAATGAGAGGAACAAAGTGAAAATGAAACTGAGGGTGAAAATGCCTTACATTGCCTGTATTTAGCTTTCTTTAAACTGCCTTAAAAATAAAATCTCTGCACACCTGAAGAAACAACAGGTGCCTATGAGGGAAAAATACAACTTCCCCGCACTGTCTTGCTTGTCACCATTTTATTGAATCACATTTCATTCCAACAGACTTTCATCAGTTTTGTTCACTGTTTTGTTTGTAACTGATAAAAGTCAGTTGGAAGGAGATGTTCTGATTGAATTAATTTCTTTATAGATGTCAGCTTTGGAATGTCAGTCATTTATCTTCCACCAGTATTGCTTAAAAATAACTTTTTAATGTGATCATCTCATCACTTGTCAGCATCACATTTATATTACTCACAAGGCTGTAAGGAGCCAGACGAATGAGTACTTACACACGCTCATGTGCCTAATATTGTGCGTGTATTTTTAGCAGCTTGGTATACTTTAACAACACTGCAAATTCATTTTTTGAACAAACATATTTTGGTCTTTTTTGTTTTTTTGGTTTGTATTGTTCACGCTCAAAACACCGTTAACCACTCAGTTTAAACTCGACATTTCCAACAGTGTTTAATAATAAGTTTCATTGTAAATGTAAAAGAGCAATGTTTTTTTAGATTATGAACTGTAGATTTATGTTCTAAATAAAAAAAAATCACCCATAAAACATGAAGAGGTCTTACCTGGTGTCGATGTAAGGAAGACGAGAAAAAGAAGGAGAAGGCTTATTTTTCCGTTCATATCGTCTCACGTCAAAACTCAACAAGA